ATTGAGGAAGAATAAACTAGTTTTATTTAAGAAAGAACTTGTATCGCAGAAAAATTAACAAACGAACATACAGAGACGTAAAAAATAAGAATTTGTTTTGCTTTTGAGCTACTAAGTTAAAATGCCAAGTTTGGTCTGGATCGGTCAGCTATTGTAGAAGGAGATTCTTCCAAAGACAGACAGAAAGTTTTCCTTGATATTGGATAGTTATCTTAAGTATCTGGAGAGTGGAAAGAGTATTAATGGTTTTCCATACATAGATATGCCAGTCCCTAATAGGCTTTCTTTTTGAAGCTCTTGTCATGCACTTTAAATATCTTACCTTAAAAGTTTTGTAGGTTATTTTAAGGAGACTGCTCCTCCGTCTTTTTTTGTCTTGAAAACACGCACAAATTGGTTGAAAATGAGCAAAATCTCTGTGAAGATTTCGAATAGCGTTCATTCTCCAAGAAAATTGTTGTAAGACAGGGGAAGTGGTTCGGAAGTGCAGAAGTCGAGTCGAGAAATTAGGCAGAAATGGCAAAGTAGTTGCGTCACTTCTTGTTCAAAGCAGTCCATTTTACAGTAGAGATGTGGTTAAGATTTCTGTTGTCTGATTTTTGTTTATTTGTAATTATGCACAAAGCTACACAATGGGCTATTTGTGCTCTGCCCACCACGCGTATCGAAACCCGGTTTCTAGCGTCGTAACTCCATAGACATACTGCTGTGTCACTGGGGGCCTACTGTTTGAATTTGGAAAATTTAATGCATTAAATGTAATAATAATTTCGAATCTTGATTCTATGGAAAACTATATTCTAAATGAAGAAATAAGAACTATCCTAAAACATGTTTTAATTATGAAATACTTCTCTATTTTAAGCCTAATTGCTTATTCTAACCCTTGTATAAACGGGAAGTTAAATGGTGTGAATCAGAAACGAACTGTAATAAAAAAGGAACATCCGCAAAAAATACACCCTAAAAATATACACCACCTATGTCAGACCAGTATTAGAATATGCAAGTCCTGCCTGTTTTAATGTGTCACCCACTCCGATAATAAGGAAATTACAAATTATACAAAACAAAATCCTAGCAACAGCATTCCGAGTACCAAGAACAACATCATCTGCATTCACACAAATATGCCAATATCAACTATACATCTGATAGACTCCTACATACTAATACGAAATATTTTCAGAAAAACCTATATAAAAATGATCTACTATGTGAAATACTGCATACCTGATAGAATAATACCTAATTACCTACCGCCATTAAACTCCTACATTAACTACAATAAATAAGCCACCTACTGCTAGCAAATAAAAACATGTATCAATAAATTCAAATGTTATGAGTGTATCAAATGGATATATATGTACTTACACCTCTAGTATATTAATCTTGTGAAAAGTGCGCGATTATACATGGAACTCTCAGTAAATATGAAAGACTATCACACAGACCTAACATTAGAGAAGTGATAAATTCGTACTAAATGTTAACAGTGAACTATACATGGACTTAGCCCAATGAAAGGGGCTAGAAGAAGTATTCACAAGAATACACATCATGGCTCTCATGTATCGACAAAATTAACATTTAACAGCATCAAATTAAACATTGTGAAACCAACAACCATAATGGAGGGGGAAGAGATTATTATTATACTTTATTCTATTTGCTTTGATTGTTTGTACTCTAGTAATTTACTCTTCTCTGCCAACATAAATATTTCAGTATTGCATAGAGACTCCGAATTAAACAGATTAGTACTGAAATATCCTTGGTTGGCTGACCATAACGTCGACTGAAAAGGGCAGCTGGCCAATACAGTGATATAACAGAGAAATCGATGAGAAGTCATCTACTGGACAGAGAAAGCGAGCCTACATTGTATTTTCGAGCACGATTTATTCAATTCTATTAAGTTTTCATTGTGATTAGTTTGGCAGAGATCCATCTTGAGGAACAGAAAGCGGACGAGCTATTCTCTCCAGTAGAGGTAATCGCTCACTTGTCTATGCAGTTACACAGTTTTTTTATTTATCTAAATAAAGTTTTCACTGTCTTTTAAATCTGTTTATTTTTCATACATTTTACAACTCAGTCAAGGTATCATATATAGAACACTTTCCCTTCTTTCTTGATCGAATATGCTGGTATTGCAGGATTACCTGTCAAATCCTATTTGGGAAGTCGTTTTTACCCGAAAATGTCACAAGTAGACTGGAAGGAGAAATTTTGGTGTTTCGGGATTTATTGTGAAGTTTATGGACCAATAAAATGTGTACTAGCCCTTGCTTGATCTATTGAGCTTATTGAATTAAAGGAATACATTTACTGAAACCAATAGCTTATTCTAGATGTAGAAATATTAACCATGACCAAGCGAGAGAGTTTAAGGACACGATGACAACTGGGGGTCGTCGATGTGGAATTCTGCCCCTGCCGAGTCTGAAACCACTTGGGGAGTTTTCCAAAGCACTTCCAGACTGTTGCCAACCAGAACAACTCAGCTACAGCTCTAGTGTAGACCACAGACAATCACCCAAGAAGAACTGGACGTGCCACTAGAGGATGACCTCCACCAGTTAGAGTTGTTTCTCCAGCAGGTAAGATAGTGGACACATATGGATCACAGCTAGGATAGTTAGGTATTTGAAAAATTGCTGACTGAAAAGGTGTAACCTTTTCTTGTCAAGCTCCCAGTAGTAACACGAAATACTGGGTATGTGCTACACCACATGATTACTGCTCAATCTTCAAAGCTATGATTGCCAGGTAGTAAGAATAATGCTGACCAAAATGGCGCCACAACACTTGCTTTCTGAGCTATTGAGCAGTGGTGGAAGTATAATGCATACACTACATAGTGTAATTTTATATATGGCATAAAAGTTAGGACAGTCATTATGTCTAGCACCTGATGATTGAAAGGAAGTGGTGTTACTTGCTTTACAGGCTATTAAGTGATGCACACTTTGATGTGCACACTGCTATTTGTGATTTCTACTAGATTAACAGTTAGGACAATCGTGTGATTGAAAGGGCGTCGTGACTCCTTACTTTCCGAGCCAATTTTCTGATGGGAAACGTTTAGAGAGAATCTCTCCCATAGTCTATTTCAGTGGTGAGAACTCTAAAGAAAATGCTACCCTGTTCTTGTTAGATTTTTGCACTTGTTTATCTGGGAAGGATGTCAGACCAACGAACTACGAGAGAGTTATTTTTCACCAGAAAAGTACAATAATAATCAGCAAGGCCATAAAGACAAAGGACTTGATCACGATGTTAAGAATTTATGAATTTATTAGGTTAACTGTGATAACTGACTTGGACGGTATTATTGGAAAATGCAGCGTACCTGTTGTTTTTTTTTCACTAAAACTATCATGATAAAATTTCAGTTTTAACATTGAAATGTTCGGTAGGTGATGAGATTTTCTTAGAAAAGATAAAAGTAACAAAAGCTCAACTACAGTTAGAGAGAAATATACGGGAGATTTCAGTATTGCATATAAACTCTAAATTGAATGAGTTAGCACTGAAATATCCTTGACTGATCGATTTTGACGTTGAATAAAAGTAACAAACGACAAATACCGTCAATAGAGGTCATAAAGTTAAGCGTCCAATATAAAAAGAATGCGAGCTTACATTACAGATTCAAGCACAGTTTCTACTTGGTTTTCATCTGCAGAGATTCGTCTTGAAGGAAAGAAAGCTGACAAGTTATTCACTGTTCCAGTAAAGGCGATCGTCCACTTGTCTACACAAGAAGTTTTTGTTTTATCTTCATAAATATTGTTTTCACTGGACTTAAGTATGTCCAATTTTCTTATATCGCACGCAATTTAAAATTTAGTCATGTTATCAACTATAGGATATTCCCCTTATTTCTCAATCGAATATGCTGTTATTATGGTTTTACCTCTCCGATACTTGTCAGGAAATCGATTTTATCCAAAAATACCATACCTTTCATTAAAAGATGTATGTATCACTTATAATGTTCAATAGGTGGATCTTCTTAATTATTGTTGTTTGTTATTAAGCACAAAGCTACCCAAATGGCTATCTGTGCTCTGCCCACCACGGGTATCGAAATCCGGTTTCTAGCAGTATAAGTACGAAGACATACCACTTGGGGGCGGATCTTTTAATAATTACATACAACAGTTTGCTAAGTATAGGTCATCTTTAATATCGTCCCCAGGTAGGTCAACGGAAAATTTACGGACCTACAACTTTAAAATCCGGCATTCAATTACCCGAAATGGACAAAGCACAGATAGCCCAATGTGTTGCTTTACGCTAAAATAGTCTTTAATATATAAATATATACGTGCGTATGTGTATCTATATTTAGTATATATAGAAGTTAAGTATACATTACTTTTTATGTTCATAGCTAAGTCTTCTTTATAAAATACACACTTGTTATTTTAAATATATTAATCTTTGATAAATAGGTGTGGTTGGGAATGTTTATAAAAATTAATCTAATTAATAATTATCATTTTTTTTATGACAATATTATTTTTTCGCCAAATTTGTTTGAATACATCTATCGCAACATTTGACTTTTCATAATTCCCCCCCCCCCCCGTTAACTTCTAGATAAAAGATGTATATTCTGGAAACCCACCCCACAACGCTAACTGTCGACTCAACAAAAACAGGAGATTCTCATCTTTGAATGCGGAGCTTAATTTTTACATAAATAATACTTTTGTGTATTATCTTACTACTAGACCTCTATCCCCGGCATGACCAGGTGGTTAGGGCGCTCTACTCGCAAGCTGAGGGTCGCGTGTTCGAATCAAACATTCGAATCAACACCAAACATGCTCGCCTTTTCAGCCGTGGTGGCGTTATAACGTGACGGTCAATCCTGTGAATGTTTGTCATTCCGAGATCCTGAGTTGCTGTATATATTCTTCAATATTGTTTTACATATACATAAAAACTGTATATGTAGATTTAAAAGTAAAAGACAAAAACAATTGTTTTTCTGTATTTAATAAATGTTTTCCACCAAACTGTTCTCTAAAAACTTACATCAATGGATAGAATTACTGGGCTTTATCAAGAAATTAAAAAGCCTTTTTTAACTCATTACAGATATATTTATACTACCGTATTCATAGTTTTTATTACGAAGTTTAAGAGTTTTAGGATTTACTACCTAGTTGTATCTGGTGTGTATCTTTCGAGTTTTTTCCTTTTTTCACAAGTTAATATTCTTACTCATTAAAGAACCATTTGTCAATGCGTATGGTTGTTGAATTGTTTTTGCATTAATATGTTAAAAAACAACTTTCAGAATCTTATAATATCCTAATCGGCTTGACGAGCCCGGCTTTTGGCTAAGGGCCTTGTTGTCACTGGATATAGCAGATGTAGGGTGGTTGATTTATGCTATTCTTCTTTACCTTTCACTTATAATTTCTTAGAATTTCTAAGCTAGTTATCCCGTTGACGCTGTGGTTGCTAGACCAGCTCCAGCAACGAGACAAGTTTGCTGGTTTGTCGGTTTTTCTGAATGAAAGTAAAGTTAGTTCAGATAAAAAAATAATAAAAAGAATAAAAGATATATAGCAGGCGTTAAAAACAAAATAGATAAATTTGTTATTAATCCTTAATCAAAAACCCGATTTGTAAATTATTTAAATAGAATTAAAAACAATTACAATTATCCTACTTAATGTAGTTCACACGATATGAGACGTTCATGAAAACTGATGATATAAATAGCACCTAGAATACCACTACGTCTTTCATATCTCAAGTGTTATGACGATCCCTGATATTTGGCAAGACCTCGGCGTCCTGCATATGGCACATGTAGTGTAGTTGACATATTTTTCTTTACATTCACTCGTACGTTAAGCACAAAGCTACACAATGGGCTATCTGTGCTCTGCAGATTGCATAATAGTGGTGTGACGTAATAGCTACCAGTTCTATGGAGACTGAGTAGTGTTTCTGAAAAATAGGATGCAAAAGCCACAATGCAAAAAACATTCAAATACGTCTAGAAATATAGGAGTCATACAAACATTTCATATTATAAATTTTCACTTCTTTAACAAAATTTCTCTTTTATAATTATATTTTGAGTTATACACCTACAATGCCATAGTAAAAAAAGAAATTGTAATTAATTATACATCTATATTTATGACAAAAACAAGAGGTTATATCCTTATCTCTACAACATTTTTTTTGAAGATATGTCAGAAGCCACTATTATTATGCATAACATAACATTATTATTTTTCCTTTATTTTTGAATTTAAAATTTTCATTAACAGAGATACCTTGTAATGTTATTAAGAGGATAGAATATTTTAAACAAAAGTGAATAAAATAAAATAAGTGAATAAAATCACTTCAAATGGCATATGAAATAAAAACATATATAGTTTAAAATGAATAATTCAAACATAATTTTTATCAATGTTTAAGCTCCTGAGTTTCTTCAAAATAAAGGTGGTGGTTTTTTTGATGCTAATGGAATAATTGGTTTTGCTGGATCAAGTTTAACAGGATCATCATCTTCCCTGGAAAATAATTTTGTTACTTGACTGACAAGGAATCATCCAATAAGGAATGTTATATATCCTAATTACTAGGTTTGACAAGGTAATATCTGTTAACAATGCATATACAATCAATGCTACAGCTTTATGAAAGTCAAAGTTCAGGCAAAAACTCAAAAATTATAATTGTTAGAAATCTTGTATTACTTCTTAACAAAAAACAAACGTACAAAAATTTCAATGAAAATCTTCCAATTACCATATTCTTTTGTTGAAAAATTTATTTAGTCAAATGTCTAACTTTAAAAAGTTTTCAGAGGTTTTAACTAATAAATTACTGTAAAAACATTCAAAAATTTTTTGGCTGATGAATTTTATGAACTTTTGAATTTACTAAATTTTGAAAACTTGGTTTACTGGTTTTTAGCAAGCTGGTAAAAAATCAAATAATGCCTGCTTTTTAATTGTCCAAATCTACATTAGTGTTTCAGTTATTTTGAAATATTTTTTGAACAAACAAAATATACAAGTTTTCAATCCTGTTAAGAGTCATCAATATACTCACTTCACAGTTGAGTGTGATTTCAGTGAGTTTAAATACCTAATACTTACACAAAGTTACATACTCATTGTAATCCCTCATAGGGAGAAAAAGGATAACTTCAATCAAGGATGAATGTTCTATACTACTAACCATCCAATATGTAAAAACAGTAAGAGTTAGTTAAGTCACAGTAAGAGAAATGTAAATACTATTTGACTTTTTGATCAATATATTTGATATGGTAATTCATTTTTACTTAAAAGAGATATCTAATTATTACTACTATACATAATGTTTTTAAATGATATCATAAATATTTACTTTTTGATCAATATATTTGATATGGTAATTTATTTTTACTTAAAAGAAAAATCTAATTATTACTACTATACATAATGTTTTTGAATGATATAATAAATATTTACACTTACTTAGTTACAAGACGAATATATATAATTGTCTTTTTGTTCTCATCAGTTTCTATGTCTGTAGCTTTTTCTTTCTGTTTTTTTGACTGCTTGCCTTGAAGAGCAACTGCTCCTGAACACCAATTATCTTCAACTGACCGAGATATTCCCCTTTCATCATCACCTATAATACAAAGAGAAATCATCTGAGCCATTTCCACTGTAATGAACAAGAAATCTGTAGTGAATAACTAATCACTGGAAAATGTGAGAGTAAAAAGAGTCTAACTTTCAATGGATTTAACACCAACTAAACATATGATAGAACATGTATAAATAAATAATTTATAAAATAAACAAAGAACAGATCTTCTATACTCTAACTACTATTGTGGTATTCAGGTACACTTATGTCCAGCATTAAAGTCAGAGGTTTCTATAAAACAGACATTCAGGACTGTTAAGAGAAGAATAAATTGTATAATGACAATATAGGAAAACAGTCAAATACAGATGCATTTTGGAAATCAGAATTCTTTATTTACAAACAATGTAATAACATGCACTGCACCACTTAACTCTTCATAGAACAAATATCTATTGGCTTCTATTGTTCTCACAGATCATCTTCATGTGTGAGCTCCCCTCTTTTATTGGCAGACTTTATCCACCGATATCACCTATCTCCTTATTCTCAGGTCAGCTGTATGCTTCCCTTTGTGGAGAGGATCTCTTCTATCCCACTGATTACCATTATTATTGGTGTATACCTGCTGTTTCCTTGGCCAATGACATAGCTCCTGTTGCTGGCTGTCATTGACCAATGGCACCTCACATCTGTTCCTTCGTTTGTCAGTGGACAGCCTCTTATCATTGAAAGGTCCCTCATTGCTCCACAGACTTTCTTAGAAAATGCCTGACATATCACCTGCTGCCTAAAATAAGTTTGTGTTGATGAAGTTCATCCAACAACAGAACTTCACTCGTCTTCCAATTCATTCCAACTGTGAATACTTAGGGTCGTATAGGGAATAACCTTCTCAGCCTTGGATGCTCCATGCTGCGCACCACACTAACAATCTTTAGTAAGAACGCACAGGTACCCGGTCAGATATTCGACCCCAACTAGGTATTGGATTTCCAGTAATACTTGGCTCCGGCAGAGTGTCAAAGTTAAAAACAGCCAAATCCAGGCAATTGAAAATGGCATCTAAGCCTTAATCTTTGTGGCAACTTACACGGTACTGAAAGTTACAGTCAATAATTGGTTTAGTTAAAAATAAAAACATGCCCTAAGCAACAAAGACTGACCGCTTTCTGAAAGTCAGGGATTCAGATAACAATAGGGGTTAATAACAGGCATGACTTGAGAAGTAGATTTCTGGAGAAGGTGGGGGTTTTGAGAACAATAAGGATTAGGGTTTGAGAAGTAAAACTTGAATATTCTGTTGGTGATTATTCAGTTAAATGTAATAAAGACTTAGCAGCTACCAGTACAAATAAAGAAGATAATTTTAATCTTTAATATGAATAAATTCTCCCTCTTATTCTACTACTTTATTTAGCTACCACTTATGATATTTCTCTGTTTCATGTATTACTGAATAACTTGAGTATTACAGTAAAGTACTGTAAATTCTGATAATCTACTACATAAAAACAAACAAGAATTAGTATAAGGCCTGCGATGTAACTGTAGGCTTAGCCATACCTGAATGAATGAAACCTAAACAATGTTCAATCTTTGACTAATCTACCTAGTACTAATAATACAAATATTTAAAGCTTCTCTGTCACAGAGCTCATAAATATTACATGCATTAATAACGGTTACTCGGACAATTGAAGGTAGCGGAATTATAACCAAGTTCTAGAAAAACAGTGCAAGAACCAAACATAACCACCATATTTTTTAATTTCCTATACATAGTTAATTTAAATAGGGTGGTGTTAAAATGAGTTACATAAACTCATCAGTGGTTATTATTCTTATCTAGCATGTACATAATTAATTTTGGATGCCAAACTTTTTAGAAAAACAATTTTGCATTTTGTTGAACTGACGGTGTTAAGGAAAATGACATTTTTTTCAAATTAAAAAAGAACTTGAAAAAGTCTGCATAACATGTAATAATCAGGAAAGAAATTAACTGGTTTTTAATCCTTTGCTTACACAATCACTGTTTAATTTCAGAACTGAAACACTTAAACATAAGAAATTTGTCTTTATATAATTACTTTTATCTAAAGAGAACATTTTGCTTTGAAAGAATTAAAAAAAGAACATAAGTAAAGTAAAATGAGAGATGACTATATGGCCCATTAAGATCTTAACTCATTTAGAAAACATTATTAATTATTATTATTATTGACTATAATTCAATAGTTATATTCTTCATTAGTTAAACAAGACCAAAATTTGATGACTGTCAGAGTATCAGCTAAAGTGAAAAGCTGGCAAAAACATTATATTATTCACTCATATAAAAAAAAATTATGTAAACCATTAATATGCAAAACACAATAACTGAATACAGAATGATAAATGTTGAGTTTGTAATTTTAGAATATATATTAAACAAATATTATGCAACTAGCCACAACCCTCAAAACATTTGCAGTAGTTTTCTTGCCCTTTGCTTGAAATTTTTCCTTATTCTATCATTTTCATGCATGCCATTTAAGCTATGCTTTCTTGCAGACATTATGTGTTAGATGATAAATCCTGGTCTATTTGAAAAAAAATGTATGTGGTCAGACAACAAACTCACATAGATGTAATGTTATTTAATAAATCTACATGTAAATAACTTTATTTAATAAAACTACATGTAAAGTAAACAATAATGTAAAGTAATGGTACATATATAATAGTGTACAGAGTATGAAACAGTTATGAGCATTCAGTGTATGACACGGTTTTACAAGTTGTAACAAAGAAACAAAGAACAAAACCCACAGTACAGTAAAAAGTAGCTAAAAGGTGTTTATAGCAGTCTAGTAAACAAACTTAGCTGAATATGCAGAAATATCTGAATGCGTGTTCACAAAGTGATAAGCATATGGTTTTGAATGAACTGCACATGTGTATTTTAGACCTAAATAAATCAAAAAAGCCTACATAATTTGTATTTAATGTAATATTCATGAAATGCTGTTTGTGTGAAATACTTTGCAAATAAAATAATAAACTTGAAATCGAGGCCAGTTGTCACTTGATGAAAGTGACATTGTGCCATCATGTACCATTCTAGTTGCATTGAAAAGTTTGACTAAGCAAAAAGCAAGTAAGGTGATTCTGAATTCAAAAGCCAATATGCAATCTGGATTCCTCAGACAGAGGCCTTTCTAACATTATGAGATTTGTAAAGTTCGATCAAGAAATTTGGAAGAAAGTCATGGACAGACAAATGCAATCATAATATTTATGTAGATACTGGAATATAAACAAAATTTATTTATTGTGGATTATTGATTATCATAATCCCAAGTTATTTTACATGCGACATTCATTAAAATTATCCAAAATTTTAAAAACTTGTACCATAAGTTTTTCTTTATGTAACATAACTCAAGAGAGTTATTTCAAGAGAGTTACTTTTCAGTACTAATCACTTTACCAAACCATGTTAGCCATATTTTGTCGAAAAAGTAGAATCTTGTTTCTTTACTGCACACGTACCATGAAAGGTTTCTGCAGCATTACCTGCTTCTCCTAAAACCTCTGGATGACCAAGAACATTGTCTAGAATGCTCAGCAACTGGTTGTTGAGAGCACATTCATCTAGTAAAAGAAGGAAGTTTGTTATTCATGTCACCAAGTCTCAAGTATCAAAAATCCAGAAGGATCATCATGTTTAAATAATATATTTGAAATGCAATAAATGATTCACTCTTGCAAAGTAGAGTAATTTCACTCAGGAACAGTTACTAAAGAAAACAAAATCTTGTGTTAATCATAAAAGTCTGAGTAAAAGAAAGTACAGCTTGGATTACAATGCCTGATACCGAATGAATAATATGCTGAACATTTCTATATACATCAACAATAACTTCTCTGCATAAAACCTTAAAACTCAGAACTACTCAATAGTTTATTTTGTTTAAAGGTAACCAATTAAAGAATTTATCAACTCTGATTACTGCATGGGAATCTAAGTGGAAAAAAATTTAATTACCTACTCATTATTTTGAATAAGGATCAAATATTGCAAAGCAGAAACCAAAAGAAAATTAATCTATGTTAGATATAAAAGATTGTTAAGTTTAAGAGTTATTATTTAGTTTATTTAACAATTTAATATTTAATGATTACTTACTTTTCATAACAAGAGTGTTAAAAGTTAATTAATTTAAAAGCAATAATTATGACAAATGTTATTACATAGCACCGTAGGAGTCGTACATTGTAAATGTAGTTTAATTGTAATACTAGGCTTTTGTAATATTGTTGACATCATCTTAATCAAAGCTTCTATGTTTCACATTATATTTCATACTGTTGTTATGAGAGGTCTAGATATTTATAGATTTTTCTGTCACGTGTTATAAATACATGCATATGAAGAAAGAAAGTTAATGAAAATTAAAGTAAAAGGGAAGTTAAACTGCATGATTGTCAGTTTAGCCATAATGTGTGGTACTTAAAGTGAGTTTCACAGTTCATATTGTAACCATAGAGATAAAGAAGAAGAATTTGTCCTGTCAATTAGGTCCTAAAGTAACTGAACCAGCCTGTGTGGACTTTTGGCGAAAAAGAGAATTATCTAAAGCTGTGGTAAATAATAGTGTAGCAAAGTTTTGTACATATACATTTGACTGGTTTTTAATATATATTATTTTAAAACATGTGGATTATGTGCTGTCTGTTTATTGTTGAAATTGATTGTCAACAAGTCACAGACACCTACTATAAAGAATCTGAAGAGTGGAAGAAAGACTGAAAGAAGAAAAGGAGAGATTGGAAATAGAGAGAGAGTGAATAAGAATAGAAAGAAGAAAAATAAAAGGAGAAAGAGGAGAGACTGGAAATAGAGAGAATAAGAGCACAAATTGAGACTGCCAAACTCACCCAACAGAAAGAAGGACCCAGGAATGACAGTGAGGTCAGGTCCAGCTGACCCAAGCTGCCCAAGTCTGATGAACAGAGAGATATCATGGATGCTTTCATGGAGAGATATGAAAGATTCACCCAAAGACAAAACTGGGACAAATGTGACTAGGCAGTCTGTATCAGCCCACTTCTCACAGGAAAAGGCCTACAAGTGTATGCAGGCATGACATCAGAAGATACCATGGACTATGACAAGTTAAAAGTGGCCTTGTTGAAATGTTATGAAATTACTGAAGAAGGTTTTCATTGGAAATTCAGAGAAGTCAAACCTGACACTGGAGAAACTGTATTTAAGTTTGTGGCACGTCTAAGGCAATACTTCACAAAATACACTGACACAGCCAAGTGCGAAAATAGTTGTGAGGGACCAGCAGATCTACTAATACATGAACAGTTCAAGATCACATGCTCAACTGACGTGTCACTGTTCATAAAGGAGAGAGCACCAAAAGATGTGAACAAGATAATCAAGCTGCCAGAACAGTATATGGAAGCCCATGGAGAGAGAGAGAGTATAACTGGCAAGTCCAAGTTTAACCAGTCAAAATTGAAACCAGGGATGGCTGACCAGAAACAGGATACCACTACATGTCACAAGAACTCAATGGACAAAAAGGAGAAGAGATGCTATATTTATTATAAAAATGGGGCACATTGTGAGAAAATGCGTCTGTCACGAACAAGCAGCAGCAGAAATCTCAACATAAAGTGGCTGGAGTTAACTATAAAGACAGTGCTAGCAAGAAACAAGAAAAGAGCAACTGTTACCAGGGGTGTTGCTGCCAGAAAAAACAGAATAGAGAAAACACATAAGATTCACCATAAGAAGGAAGTGCTATTTCCATGATTAAACAGTGCACAACTGATGGTCAGCTCAAGATAGCAAATGGACCAACAGTGCCAGTGGTGATTGAAGCATGTGACAAACATTGAGAGATGCCAACAAATCACAACATTCTAGTAGGTGAAGGCTATGTTGGGGACAAAACAAAATGAGTTCTGTGAAACATTGGGTGCAGTAGTGCAGCAGTGAGAACCAGTCTTGTATCTAATGACCAGATGATAGGCAAGGTACATCTTTGTGTGATGATTGATGGGACAGTAAGAAAGTTTCCCACAGCAAAAATATATGTGGTCACTCCATACTATGTGGGAGATCTTGAAGCCATGTGTATGAAGGCACCTATCTATGACTTGGAGACAGAAAATATACCAGGCAGTAGAAGTTTGGAGGAACCAGACAAAAAGAAGACTTATGAAGCATCTGTAGTCACTACTAGAGCTCAAGAAAAGCAAAACAAATGATACATCACACCCCTGCAAGTCTCGAAAGGTGAAATCCCAAATGTAGGTTTATGGGAACAGAAGAAAGACCCTTCACTGCAGAAACTTTGAGACAGTGCCCAGGAGAAAGTCAAGCCCAACACAAAGAGGAAAAGGACTTACAGAACAGAGGAGTGTAAGGAAGTGCTGTACCAGATCTATCAAGGCAGTTATGATGGGGAAGTTAAAAAGATTATAGTACCAACAGAATACTGGACCCAAGTGATGAAGCTGGCTTATGGGTCAATTGTGGGAGGGCACCTAGGAGCAAAACAAAATGACAGAATCCCCAGCAACTTCCATTGGCCGGGGGATATTGGAGATGTGACCAGATCCTGCGGGTCATGTGACATCTGCTAAAAGAAAATACCTAGAGGGAAGGTAGTCAAGGTGCCACTGGGTGAAATACCTCTCATAGAAGAGCCATTCAGAAGAGTAGCTGTGATTTGATTGCACCACTAGCACTTGTTTCTGAGAAAGGTAACTGGTATGTGCTGACAGTAGTCGAATATGCGACACATTATCCAGAAGCCCTGCTGGAAATGTTCTGCAGTGCAGGCTTTCTGAAAGAAATCCTGAGTGACAAACAGACTCAGTTTACTTCAAAACTGATGTAAGAGGTGTGCAGATTCATCAGCACTAGTCAACTCTTTACCACCATGTACAACCCCAGATGTAATGGAATTTGTGAGAGAGTCAATGGGGTTTTAAGAACCATGCTGAAGAAGATGTGCCACGAGAGACAGCGTGACTGGGACAGGTACCTGCAGGCAGTATTATTTGTTTACAGAGAAGTCCCACATGCAAGTACAGATTTTTCACTCTTCGAGTTGCTGTATAGAAGAACAGTACAAGATCTGATGCAGATATTGAAAGAGCTGTGAACAGGATGCATGCATCTCAAGGCAGTCAGAAGCACTTCTATGACAAGAAGGCCTAGGATCAACATGTCAAGGTCCGACTGAAGGTTTTGATAGTTACTTTCTCTCACATTATAGCTCTTTTTGATTAGTACTATCCTCTATCAGTGCAAATTTTCAAAAAGGAAATAATCATGCAGCAGCTCTCCACCAAAAGGAGCACAACATAACTCCTATCATAACCAGCGCCTTCTTCACATTTGCACCCATTAATCACTTCAAGATTGGTCAGAATACCTATACCATATATCACTGGAAATGGGGAGGTTGGGTGGGAAATGTCAGAGGAAGTAAGTACCTATCAGAAATACACTTTCAGTGTAGGAAAATGCTAACTTCTGATACGATATCTTACCTCGATTAGTACCATCTGATCCAGGTATATCCTTTGCTCTTTTATGGCTGTGTCATGAACAGAAAATGTGGAAAAACATGAAGGAATCTTAGAATATGTATGACCAATTAATGGGACCACTGGCTAGGTTGCAACAGACCATCCAACACCAGGTAGTATCTGGAATGGTACATCAGATCCGCAGTAGATAGAGGATAACCTACCTCTTCATCCCGAAATGGGAACTGATAGGGAAGATGAGTTTTCATACCAAAATCCGTCTCCACTTGCACACATTTTCAACATAACCAACACTAGATCTGCCTGGAACCGACATCCAGTGAATGGTAGGAAGGTGGAAAGCCCTGGCAGAATGACATCTCTGATACAAAAAGTGGCAGCATTGGGTATGATACATCCAGTCCACGGTAGAAGGAAGATACCCGGCCATGTAAAAGCAGGAAAATGTGCTGCATCCAGCTACAACCAACACCAGATCCACTGGAAAATGGCATCCAGCAGACAGTGGGAAGAAGGACTGCAAACTTGAGGTGCATCTCTAGTTCAAAACCTGGTGGCAGTGGGCATTTGTCATCCAGTCCATTGTAGGAAAAGGGATACTGGCCAGTACACATGTGAGGACTTACTTAGCTGTACCATCTCCAACCAATATCGAACCCAATGGGAATGTACATATGGAGAATGGTAGGTAGAAGGAATGTCTCAGCCTGAGGAGCAAACTGCAATTATAATATATAGTTGTGACATTGTGCAGTGCTTTAACCATATCCTGTCGGCATCTGGAATTTTACATCAGGTCCACGGTAAGAAAAGTGTCATGCCATCAACACGATTCTAATTGTGACCAGGCCATCTTCAACCAACACCAGACCCACCGGGAATGTAACTCCACATAATGGTAGGAAAGAGAAATGCCGCGGTAGAAAAAAAGCAATGGTCATATATAGACAATAATACAACATAGTGCCACAACCAAAATCTGGCAGCATCTGGAATTGAACATCAGGCCTATGGTAGGAAGTGTTATACGCCATTGACACCTGCACCACTCTATTCTGAACTGAGTGGTATGATTCATCACTCAGGAGGACAGGCCTCCATGGACCACCATCCTAGTGGCTAGGAAATGGCAAGTGCTAAGGACTCCCATACTCCATTAGAAAAAACGAAGGAAAATTGTGTTGGAGAGTCCATAGGACCGCATCACCAGAGATAGTGTAACAAGTGACCCCAATACCCTATTTTGAACAGCAAAGCTATCACTTTGACAGAGTTGTTCAATCAAAACCTGTCGGCATCTGGAATTGTACATGAGGTCCATGATAGGAACAGTCTCAACACCTTAGAGCATCAGAAATTGACAACAATCTATGTCTGCTTTACTCATGTTAGTCCATGAGTGTGTGGTCAGGGATGAAAATATTAAAATATAAAAAACATTAGAGAGAATTACTAGCAGTCGTACAGAACACTCCATCTTGACAGTGTGCATAACCCAATCCTGCAATGTAATTGTTTAGGCATAGATGATAATAGAATGGAGACACACAACCAACACCTAGCGGCATCTGGAATTATACATCAGATCCATGGTAGGAAAGGCTACAACGTAATTGGCATTGAACATAGTCACAGGATAAATAGTGCAGATTTACAAAAAAAAAAGTATACCTGGTGAGGCACTACTTGTCACAGATTGAGATCCACCATACACTAGCCAAAAAGGCCCCTGAAAAAAGGAAAAGCAACCATAACAATTCCAAAACATGAAAATTTAAATAAAGAGTAAAGAAAAACTAAGTCTGTAGTATAAAGGAAAATGTCGACTAAGCTGCGAGCAAAAACCAGCATGTCTGTATGGTACTACTGACAATTTAGAAGTGATTAATGAGTGCAAATGTGAAGAAGACACTGGTTACAATAGGAGTTGTGTCGCACTCCTATTAGTGAAGAGCTGCTCTATAATTATTTGCATGTGGATATGCAGAAGCGGGAGGTGGAAGGCTAGTAGTGAGCATTGAAAATGTGTGCAGAGAGAGGGCAGTACTAATCGAGAAGAGTTACTTTTGTGAGAGAAGGTAAGATATCATATCGGAAAGCGAGTTTCACAGTTCGTATTGCAATAACAGAAACAAAGAAAGATAATTTTTATCTTGTCAATTGGGTTCTACAGTAATTGAACCAGCCTGTGTGGACTTTTGATGAAAAAGAGAATTATTTAAAGCTCTAGATTCAACTGTGGTAAATAATAGTGTATGAAATTTTTGTATGTATGTTTGACTTATTTTGAATATATATTACTTTAAAACAAGTAGATTGTGTGCTGTCTGTTTATTGTTGAAATTGATCACCAACAAGTCACAGACACCTACTGTAATGAATCTGGCCTTATAAAACCTGACAATCTAATTAGATATATAAAGCCGGTGCATATTTCCAATAAGAGTCAGTAATATAAACCCTAAAATAAAAATTATTTATTAACCGAAATACTTCATATTTAACTAAGGTGTAAAAATACATAATCACTACATGACTGATATGATACTTTTTTTTTCATCAACAATAAATTCTACTATTGATTAATCAATCTATTTATAATATTTAATACAGAAAATTATATTCAGGAAAAAAAGGGTTTAAAATATCTTTTAGCAAAATCATAATCTTAAGAATCTAGTTGATAATTTATGTCATTAAGTGTAAAAATGTAAAAAGGAAAATTGTTATTATGGTAACACAAAATATCGCACTGGTTACTAAACACTATTTTAAACCTATGAGGTTAAGTATATGCTTATTTTAAAGTCAACCTAATTACTCAAATCATTATTTTAAAATATTTGATTTTTTAAAGCTTTAAGAATATCATCTTAAAAACTATTGCATATTCATAGGACATAAAATATCAAATAACATTCGTACATTCTTACTTGCAAAAATCAGAAAACACCATTCAAGGTAGCAAGCAATAAACAAAGTTAGGTTTTAAAATCATAATCAGTTACAATTAATTATCGAAAATTCTCATTGAATTCTTGGTTGTTTGACTCTAACAACAAATCTTCAATCATTTTCACCCACTAGTTTTAATATATATGAATCACTATAAAAACTATAATGAATATAGTTATTGAATGAGATTTTCAAATATATGAAAATGTTTTTTGTTTTAAAAATTACAAATTCTTAAATATTTAAACGATTTATGCTGCTTTACAATTTATAACTCTACATTTGAGCTTAAAGACTGGCTAAAAAACTGTATTAATGATATTCACCAACATGGCTGACCTTCTTAGACAGAAAAAAAACACACTGATATAAATTCCTATATGCCAAATTTCTACAGAAATTCAAAGTTCTCAACTTTTTAAATGAATAAGAGTTAACCTAACTCTTCTAAGCTGCCCAAACCTCTTAAAATATTACTGGGGTTATGGCTGAAAATATCATTAACTGCCAGTGTATCGAACTATTGAATCAATACATTCTAATAACATAACCTATGGACAACAAGGGTGCATTTGGTTCTTCAAAATCATCTGTACACACTCACCCTTGGAAAAAATAAAAATTTAAACCAACCTTTTACTTTTCAGAAAATCATTAGTTCTTCTCTTAAGCTCATTCCATAAACCACACTTTTATAAAAATAAAACTGTTTTAAATGAAAACTACCCTGTCTTTTCCAACTTGTGTCCCTTCATTTTATTATTTTCAAGATAAAACACAGAAAAATTATATGCCTTTATCCTAATGATCCTGTTATCTTGTAAGCTTCAATAAAATCACCTCTTACTTTTCTTTTTTCAACAAGAAAAAAAAATGTTATGAGATATTAACCTACCCCTGTAATATAACCCTTTCACTCCTGGAATTATTCTAGTAGCCATCCTGAACCTTTTCCAATAATGCAAAATCTCCCTTTAGTGAATACATGTTGCCTTTCATTTATGATGTAATATTTTACTAAAGATTTTTGTAAAACTTCTTTTATCAGATTAGCAGTGTTTTATACTTCAGAAGTAAGACTACCTGGGATATAATTTCCAGGGCAATACTTACCACCTCTCTTTAAAAAATGGGAGTAACATAGCAACTTTTCAATCCTTAAGCAACTGCCCACTATATATTTACCTACTAGAAATGAAGAGACTTGCATATCTGATACATGACTTCCTTTAAAATCTTGGGGAAAAAAATTGTTTGGTCCTTGTGCTATGTCAGTTTGAATTTCTCAGTCTTTATACTTATCACCAAGTAATTAATATATACATGATGCAGGTCAATTTGAATATTTTTTATAGGATGTTAAGGGTCAGGATTCTTACTAATATATTATTTTAAAAACAGATGGGAAGATAACATTTAAAAGCTCAGTCATCTAATAATCTTCAATAATAACTCTGCCATGAGCATCAAGGGCTCAGTCTTTACATTTTGTTTACCTCTAACATAAAATTCTTAAAACTATTTTAACATAATCAGCCAGCTGTTTCTCATAAGCCCTTATGAATTTTCTAATTTCTTTTTTAACCAAATTCTTAGCCTTACTATAATTCTGTAAGTCTTTTAATCTACTAACAGTTTAAACTTACAGCATTTATCTCTGATTTTATCTTTTATGCCTTTAGTTAGCCAATTAAGTTTGATCATTCCCATTATCCTTTTCCTCCTTTTAGAGACATGCCCATCTTAAATTAAAAGTAAGTTAAATTTAAAACTTCCTCAATCTGTTCCACATCATTAACTCATTGTCCAATTCACTAATAATATATCTTTTCTCATGGTCTCAAAATTTGCTTTTTAAAAATTAAGAAGTGTAACTGCATTTCTTTTCACAAAGTGGATTGATCACTAGTGAGTATCATTATTTGCAACATACATTCCATGAGTCTTCCTAGTTATGGTAATATTCATAGACAACAGGAGCCATAGTGAATATGCCTGCTGCCATTTACCATCCTCAACTACTTTACACTTCCTTTTTATACATTTCAACATACAGCAAACTTTTAAAACTGATTATGCTATAGTCATTATTCCCAAAGGGTCCCCTACTTCAACATTCACAATCGTATCCTTATTAGTGATTAATAAATGTAAAATGGTATCCCCACTGATTGACTTATTTACATTTAGTATAGAAAACCATTCTGAATCACTTCAAATCTTTTTCCATTGCTATTGGACTCCCTACAATTCAAGTTAATGTCTAAACTTAAGTTCCCCATAACTACTGCATTAGCATTTCTATTTTTAACAATCTAAATAAACAATTTCTATCTGATGAGATGGTCTATGATATTTGCAATTAAAAGCTTTCTACCCTTTAAAAGTTATTTGTAATCCATATAGATTCAACCTCTTGACTACCATATTTTGTCTTCACTCCTAACAAATTGCAGTTCATCCCTTAAATAAAAAGCCATTCCACTGTTATAAGTATGAATGTATATTACAATAGCTATATTCATTACTGGTTAATTTTTTTTAGTTCTGATTTATTTATGTTAATGATAAATAATTATTCATAATTTAACACTCTTTAGATCTAAGCTCAAGTATTGGGTATAAAGCTATATAACTCATAAACATGGCTAACCTTCTTCAACAGAAATGGTGGAAACTGACACACGTTCTTGGATGCCAAGTTTTTGTGGGATGAAAACAGCTTCAATAATACCATTGTCTTCCAAACCAAATGTTATCCCTGCCTCCACAGGTGCATCTTTAGCACGCAGAAACACAAACTTATTGTCTGAATCTTGAGGTCCATCTATATTCACTCTCTGGTGAGGCTTTAACTGAAGACAAGCTACCATTTTCCCATCAACGTAAAGATCCACATTACAAAAAGAATTTAGAAAAGTTTTTAGCATGATTTCAAAGTTCAACCCATTGCCCATTTCTACAATATATCCATGTTTACCTTCATAAAAATCTCCTGGTGTTACACCAACCAAAAAATCTCCTACTTTTACATAATTCTGATTCATCTTTTTCCATTCAGCCCTCTCTTCATCTGTTGCAAGTTGCAATCGTTTCATTGTTTCTGTATCATTGCTAATGTTGGTCTCAGAAAAATACACTCTCTCCATGTTTCAACTTTGTTTAGGGAATGGCTTATTCCACGTATTTAATGTTGTTTTTACCTAGAAATAAAATTACTTAATTATGCTTTGAATGAGAAAACATATAGTGTCCTTGTCTTACTATGATTAAAATACAATTTTGCTTTTTTTAACCACTGAACTGACAAATAAATAGGATAGCCAACTGTGCTTAATTTGAGTGAAAACTTTAAGTTTGTATGAAGTGTAAACAAATACCCACTAATAACTACATTTATTTTCAGTTAGACCTTTCAACAAATTTCTTAAACAAGCTGGATAAATTCTGTAATTATTATATAAATGCAAATAAAAACGTTGTTATCTCTACTTATACTTCTTGACTAAATTATCAGATTTTCAGTTTTCAACCAAAGAATTTTGATCTTGAAAAATATCTGTTCTTAAAATTTTGAAAAGCAATTTAGGCAGTAAATTTTGTAACTTTTATTTAGACAACTGTTGAACTGAAGATATGTGAATTAATAATCAAAAGTAGACTCTAAAGTACACAAAAAAAGGTTATAAAAGGAAAATAGAATTTTGTGATGAAAGTTTTGGCTACCTGATTGACTTTCAACATGATCTTAAGAGAAGTTTGAATGTAATGAATTTTTTTAGGTCTCAGTGACAGATATTTGGCTGAAATATATATACAACTCCCTTTCCCCTAACAGCAATTATAACCAATTCTTTGTTTTTCCTGCTTTTATTACAATATAGTTGTATCTGTCTAACAAAAATAGAATATGGACTTCTACTTTGAAGAATCAAGATTACCAATATATGTGGTATACGAAAAAGCATCTAGTAATGAAATTTTGAAATGATGGGGGTTGCTGTAGCTTTAATCATGCATATGTTATGTACCGCAAATTATGTTTATGATTCCTGTAATCATCTAAATTATAAATAAAAACGTATATTGTATATACACACGCATTTATTTACTTAATAACATATTTCAAAACAATTTTAAACTACACCTAACCTCTAGCTTAAAAATAAGAAATACACTTAATGTTACGATGTACGTTTTAGATTTTTACTGACATTAAATAATATAATACTAGTTTTAGTAGTACTAGTACAACTACAAGTTAGGCAGAATTATAGTAATCCGATCCTACACAATATTTTATTGTGAAATCCTTGATAAGTCATTAAGGGCTATTTATAACATCTATACCAATATTTTCATAATTGTATCCGTTTTTGATTAGAGTAATTATTAAACTACTCATGCAAATGAAAATAAAACTTATGTTAACATTAACAGTAACTCAGATTAACAGCAATTTTATGAGTAAATACTTCTCTGTTCTCACCCGATTTGCATCTATTCTCTCGGCATTACTGCAAGTTTTACTCAACTTCTAAGCAAAAAAGTCCAAATCTTTTAGTTCCGTGAATAATATCTAATTTAACACAAAACATTCAAATAACGATCTCAATATTTTGTATGTTACACACAATGTTCTGCCAATCTTCTAACTTTTATTTAGTGTAAAGGTAATGTAAACAACTTTTAATCGTACCATGACTAATTCTTCTTTCTCGTATTATCTTCACCCTAATAACGTCACTCTTGGCAATTCGTAAAGGTACGTGCAGCATACATCTTTTACTATTGGTCCACAAAATCACCAATCACAAAGTGCAATTACTTGCAGCGAAAGCGGAAGTTATGTTGGCATTTCCCAAGCGATTCTTCCTAATACTTGTGAGAAGGAAGAGGTGTATGTATATTGTTACGTCTTGGGTCGTTGGTTAACTTTCTGTAGAAATTCTTTCCGGAAAACTTCAGCGATATAAGTCCTTTCTGAAATAAAACTAGTTTATTTTTCTCAATACAACTTTGCAATACACTTAATTTCCACAGTCACTTTAACTTAAACACATACTATAATTCACGCACTTTATCCACGGTCACTACCGCACTTGACTCAATTGTCTATCTCTGCCTGTCTGCAATTCAATTAATTATCTCGCTTTATTTGCCTGCTTATATACTAAAATAGAGGGCGCGTAGAAAAGACTAGAGTTGCTAGG